AAAAATCTCAAAATTCTAAAGTAAAAATAGTTTCAGGCTCATCTGGGTTAATGTTATACGGCACATATGATAAGGAATATGAAAATGTATGTATATCGATGATGTATTTGATAACGGCACAACAATACAAGAACACCAAGGGATAGGATACAAATTGTAGCTTCATACAACACAATGCGTAGTAACATCAATAACATGTAGCGTAACATCAACGTTGACCTAAGACGAACACAATCGATATTGTGTAGCCACGGACTGATTGTTCGAGTAAAACTAACCACAAATAGCTCCAAACTATACAATAACATGAAACAAACAATAACATATTGGGACATTATGGTAAGCTGAACACAAACAAATATTTCGTAGAGACGGACTTAATTCTCTTATAAAACCAACGACAAAGACCTAAGTAATGACAAAAAGACACACGACAACACAATGCGTAATTAATAACATCAATAACATGTTACAATAACATATTATAGTGTAACATCTCAACGTTGAGCTAAGACAAACAATCGAATATTTTGCAGCGACGGATTTATATTCAAGTAAAACAAAGACCCAACGTAATATCAACAAGATATACCATAACATTAGTAACAATAACATATAGCGTAACATTTTAACATTGAGCTAAGAACATATATCAAATATTTCATAGCGACGTATTCAATATTAGAGTAAAACCAACGACAACTGAACGTAGTAGTATTGTCAAGATGGACAATAAAATTAACAATAACATATAGCGTAACATTGAAAGACGAAGACAATCAAGTATCACAGCGACAGACTTGTATTCGAAAGTCAACGACAGTACCACCAAAAGACGTTATGACAAGACATACACTATAACCCACAACCTGACACACAATCAAGACCTCAAAAACACAGCGTATAATTGGCGGACTTAATCACAACATCCTCTACCAGTCATCTCCTCTCCCCCCTTCTCCCTACCTCTAACGACCACGCGTTGAACTGCGGCGACCTGTTGCGACCTGACCACCACTTCTTTGGTCGGCGGCGGCGCGCTTGACACCGACGAATCAAGGAAGACCTCGTCGTCTGACAACAGGTTCGGATCGCGTGGTGCTTGATGTTAAATAATAAGGAAATTATCGAACAATGACGTCAAATATGAATATTGAAGAACGTATTTTAATTTTTAATGCCCGTATTCACAAACGACGCTTAAGTGAAGCAGCAAATCGAACGACAGCGTTGAATAGAGCTCTGTTCATGTGTGATCCTGTGCGTCCGCGCGCACTGTGAGATCTCTGTCAAGGACAGGATTTAAAAAGAAATTAGAAAAGAAAAAATAAAGATGTCACTTTCGAACAAACAAAACGCAATACGGCTTTCATTTTGCTCTGTTCGTATTATAACGAATTATGAAGAGAATCAATCTCATAGTAATGTTTGTGAATACGGGCGTAACAATCACAAAAGAGATTAGAATAGAAACAAAATATAAATACTTAATAAAAGAACGATACGGAAGAAGTATTAGAATAGGAAAGCAGATGAGAAAAGAGCTATGACAGAAACAAAAAGCATGACAAAGACTGAATGACATATAAATAATCATGAAACGGTAAGTGACGTTATACGCCAACGAAAATCGTTGGTACAGCCTATGCGATAAATGAAAAAAGTAGATACATTGCTCTGTCTAGAAATCAAGTTAGACATAAGTTGCACCTGTCAAGGACTAACAATCTCCTCGTCGCCACTGAACTCTAAAAATAACGAACAACGCCCTAAATTAAAGGGCTAACTGCAAACACTGTTAAAATCTTAAATACTTTACACTCAATCTTAAAATACTCTGACATCAACAAAGAAAGCCGAACTAAAAATTCTTTATGAACATCCATAACACCAAAATATTATTACACACTCGCAAGCAAAAGTATGGAATCAAATAAGAGGTGTTTGCTTCGAGAGATTTTAGAAACTAAATGACTAGTCTATGTCTGTATCTATAGTATCAGTTTAAAGTTTAAAATAAACTTTAAAATGGTACCATTTATATTAATCTCCATTAATCATTTACTTCTTAAGATCTCTCGGAACAAATAAATTATTCCTACTTTTGCTTCAGTGTATAATGTAAATATAATAATATCGTCAACATACACAGCCGAGCCTAACACCACACCGAACCTCACCTCTGATGGGACCTCGGACCACAACCACGGGCGCCGGAGACGCAGTGCCGGAAGACAGGAACACTTCATCATCAGGCAACAGGTTCGGGTCCGGTTGTGCCACTTCTTGGTGTTAGTAAACAATGGGGATTTGATGGAATCCGTAAGGTAGATCTAACCAGTTGTGTATTGTTTTTTGTACATAATTATACATTTATATGTTCGTGGTAATTATATTGTTTTACTTATGTGTGTTTTAGATTTATGTATAATGTGAATATAGAAAGAAGTGTAAGATATGCAGAGAAATAGAAAAAACGTGTATGAAAGGTTAGTTAATCCACACCTTATTAGTAAAAGTAAAAATAAGAGAAAATGGCAATTCGAACATCCTAAAAATAATAATAATAATTCTTTGCAATAATGACAGTTGTGTAAATAATATTTATAGGATATTCGCATTGCCATACAGTTATTTTAAAATAGTGAATAAGAAGAAAACAAAAAATCGTGCATAAAATGCAAAACTTGCTATACAAAACTTTGAACACATAATTTGTAGCTAAAAATAAGACTTCGTATAAAATATTTAGTTAATCATCTTACATTATTTGGGTTTAATACTGCTAAAAAAAATTGTTAACGATGACGAAAGCAATATAATTGTTATTTTAATAGGATAGGATATTTCTTTCCCGGGGTTTTGAAAGGGGGAAAGACTTATTGAGAAATTTTGTAAAAATATTGTTTACTCTTTCACGCAAAAACTACAACAGATTTTAATGAAACTTTATAGTATTATTACTCTTATACGTCAGAATAGCATAATAAAATAAGGCTTTGTGACAAACTGAATTTCACACGGGTGAATGCTAGCTAGTACAAAATATGTGTTCATGAATATAATAATTGTTAAATAATAATAACAAAACCAACCTTTAGTCCTGTCCGCGTGAGCGCGTTCGGCGTTCAGGAACTCATCTACAAAACCGTACCTTGTTATGGCAACACATGCGCTACTGTACAAGATTGAACAATGATAGTGGCAACACTGAGGCTTTGAAAAAATTTCTTTCGTTCGTTCGTTTCAGCTGAAAGACGTCTGCTGGACAAAGGCCTCACCCAAGGATTTCCACAAAGACCGGTCCTGCACCTCCCGCGACCTTCACCAGATCGTCGGTCCACCTAGTGGAAGGCCTGCCCACGCTACGTCTTCCGGCTCGTGGTCGCCACTCAAGAACTTTCCTGCCGCAGTAGCCATCAGCTCTACGAGCTATGTGCCTACTGCCACTTGATTTTAGCGATTCGGCGGGCTATGTCAGTCACTTTGGTTCTCCTGCGGATCTCCTCATTTCTGATTCGATCACGCAGGGAAACCAAAATTTACCCAATGTGATTTTGATTGCGGTTGGTATTATTGATCGTGCAACGAGTTGGAGTGAAGGTCACGTACCGGAAAGCGCAGCGTTGGACGTCCACCAACAAGGTGGAGCGACCTCATAAAGGTAGCAGGAAGGCGCTGGATGCAGGCCGCTACCAACCACCCATTATGGAAATCATTAGGGGAGGCCTATGTTCAGCAGTGGACGTCCTGTGGCTGAATGATGATAATGAACGAGGTATCTGTATATTTGTTTACCACTATCATTGTTTTTACTCACACAGTATAATTTGTTATAGTCGACACAAAAAAACATCAGAAAAAATAGTTTACGAAGACAAAAAGGAGATGGGAGATTAAAAACAAATTAATTAAATTAAAAATATGTCGACTACGTATCATTGATTGATTTGTTTGTTAAATTAGTCAACTAACTACTTTTTAAAACTCAAAAACAAAATGCATCCAAATGCAAGATCAATGAGGGTTTTCGCGATAGAAAAACCCGCCAGATGGCAATACGTAGACGCGAGGTCCAAATGCTGCATGATTGGTTATTTTTGACATGACATTGACAGATATTTCAAAATCCACCAATCATGAAGCATTTGGACCTACCGTCTACGTATTGCCATTTGGCGGATTTTTCAATCGCGAAAACCCTCATTTTGATATCAAGAAAATCACATGCCAAAAAGGTTTATAGTATGGATGCATATCAAATTTCAAACTACTCATAAAGTTCCGGCCAGTTTTCTATCGGATATCGATATGTTACAGTCAAAACTCATGATCAAGGACGTTAGTCAAAATCACTTATGAGTAGAAAAAAATCTGTCAAAAGTGGTTTCGCCTAATTTAAAATTTTTTGTTCGGTCGTATAAATAAAATCTTTGCACTCAAAAGTGGTTTTGACTAACGCGCTTGGGAAAAACCACTTTTGACCGATTTTTGCAGTCAAAAGTGGTTTTGACCGATTATGAGTTTTGACTGTAACATAGAAATATCGATATATTGATAAATTATGATCGATCACTCACCATCACTCAGCACGACCTCAGGTTGACTCCTCACTGGCGCTTGCTTGGTCTCTATTCTCAGCACTCGGTGTTCTGAAAAATATATTTCAGTAATTTTATTTGAGTTTTTTCCATCTATACTTATAATAAATCTGTAGAGCGGTCAATTCTGTACATAAAATATATTTTCAATATAACTATCAGGGGGTGATTAGTGATCGATACTGATGCCAAAAATCCCATAAATAAAATTTTTGTCTGTCTGTCTGTCTGTCTGTCTGTATGTTCCTTATAGAAACAAAAACTACTCGACGGATTTTAACGAAACTTGGTACAATTATTCTTCATACTCCTGGGCAGGTTATAGGATACTTAGGAATTCCCACGGGAACGGGCATTAGCGGGAAAAAACATTTGTATGAAAAAATCTAAACCGCGTAAGATAGATGAAGGGGGTAAAACGGGATCCACGCGTACGAAGTCGCGGGCGGCCGCTAGTGCTATCATAATAATACGGAGCTAACTCTGTCTGCTATCCTCTCACGCTTAAATAAACTTTCAATCTTAAAAAAAAGCTTTCTTACATGACTTCTGAAAATATAGAAATAAAGAGTCCATACCCCATTCATTGACATATTATTTTGGCAATTGAAGAAATAAAAATGTATTTATTTTTCACCACTTAAACAATAAAAATTAACAAGTGTCTAGATGCTTGGTGTTGGTACCTAAACTACACTCGACGTCAGATAAATCGCACCTCTCGCGACTAATACTAGTGTTCTAAAATGTGATACTAGATACTAGATCCAATCACTTGATACTAGACACTAGGTCCTTGTCACGTGATACTAGGTCCTCGTCACGTGATATTAGATCCTAGATCCAATCACGTGATACTAGATACTAGGTCCTTGTCACGTGATACTAGGTGTTTGTCACGTGAAACTAGGTCCTCGTCACGTGATACTAGGTGTTGTCCATGTCACCTTGTTTCTGCGTCACTTACAATCGACTGTCACAACTTTTCTGCCCCAACGCACTGTGATTCGTGTAGAACAAGCTAGCTGGACAAAAGTCATTGTTGAATTTCTGATTATCGTTTATAAAAAACGATAAACAACATCCCAGACATTAAGGATTCCACAATTTTTTACTTTGTTAATTACCTAGTCGTGAGTAATTAACATGGTAAGTGAGGATATGAGGATAGTGTAATTTTTAATTCCTGATTTTGCTCGACTTTCGACAACACCTGACATTATTTTTTACTATGGTGACCAAATATTTGTGTGATGTATTTTGAAGATAAGGGTAAGTACTTTTTATTTTCTGTACAATAAGGTGCATAATAATGCACATAGTTTTAAAAACTATGGCAAAATGTTGACTTTTATATTTTTCTCAAAATTTTATGTTTGGAAGACTAGAAGTTGTATGCCCCCACTTGACCCCAGTCTGGAATTTATATACAGTGTGAGTCACGTTAAAGTGTACATATGAAAATAGATGAAACTAGACCTATTTTTATCGACAAAAAAGAGGTCAAAAAATTTTTGAGATTTTTTTTAATTTTTTATAGAATTTTTTTTCTTCCAATTACTTATTGTAAAGAAAACGTAATAACTTTTAAACTAAGCGGTATATCCTGATAAAATAAAAACAGTAATAATACTAAATAACAGGCGATACTAAAAAAATACATAAAATACCCTCAAAATGCCAACAAATAATAAAAAAAGATACTTTTTGAAAAAAATCTGCTTAAAAAACTGAGATTCTTTGTTCCATATAAATCGCAAAAATGTTTATATCGAAAAATTGATTTTCATTAAATTCTCCATAAAAAACGGGAATTTCATACTTTAACACCTAATACATCATAAGACCAATTATTATTATACTGTAAAGTTAGTTTCTTCTTTCCTTTTTAGTCTGTTTCTCTTGATTTTAGGAAATAAATATTTTATTACCAAAAAAAATTTTTTTTTTCAAACCTACAATAATAATTATAATAACAAGCCTAATTATTAATCTTAAATTGCACAAAAAAGTAAGTAATGCGTGTTTAATACACGCTAATAAACCCATTAAAGTAAAAAAATAATATTGTCCAGCTAGCTTGTTCTACTCGAATCACTGTGCAACGGTCATCGGCTCTAAAAGCTATGTGCCCGCCCTCTACCACTTGGTCGTCGGTCCACCTAGTGTAGTGTACTTACCATCCCTGGACTCCTCCTCGGTCTCCGAAGGAGCGCTGGCGGGCGATGTGATTTGCGCCGCGCTAATCGCCTCAGATTCAGACAGGTCGGTGTCGTCTGAAAATAATAAATACAAATATTATACTAGGTTCGGGTCACGTGATTTTTGGTACTAAATCCCGATCTGGATCACTTTCTAGCAACTGAACACTATAATCCGGGCCTTTTCAAAGCGAGAGTGAATAGGCACATCGTTCGGTCGTTTCAGACAAATGACGTCCACTGCTGGACAAAGGCCTCCCCCAAGCTAGAGGGTCACGTGATGCTAGATACGAGGACCGGATCATACGATACTAAGTTCGGAGCGACTAATATCTGAGTCACTAAAGTACTTACTACGTAATGTTGTTGGTCACGTCATATTTTGTCCCCCAGTGTCTAAGAACACTCACTAGGGGTCACGTGATATTAGATACTAATTCAGGGTCACGTGATATAAGACACTAGGTAATGGTCACGTGATATTAGATACTAGGTCCGGGTCACGTGATATAAGACACTAGGTCATGGTCACGGTTCCTAATCACGTAATAATACATACTAGGTCTGCGTCGATAGTAGCTTACTAGTGCAGTACTAGTCACGTGATATTAGATACTAGCTCCGGTCACGTGCTATTTGATACTAGGTGCGAGTGATATTAGATACTAGGTCCGTGTCACTTAGTATTAGGGTCACCCACTGGTCGCTGCTTGCTCTCTGGTCACGTGATATTTTGTACTAGTTCTAAGTAACACGATATTTAAGACACTAGTCTCGCGTCACTCGTCGAGCACTCACTAGTGCAGTACTGGTCACGTGATATCAGATACTAGTTCCGTGTCACGTGTTATTATATGATACTCACACTCGTTGCCGCTTTGTACTAGTTATTGGTCACGTGATATTAGATACTAGCTCCGTGTCACGTGATACTCACACTCGTTGCCGCGCTGCTTGCGCTCCACCACGCGGCGGTACTCGTCGATCTCCCGGTCGGTCACGTGGTCGAACGGGTTGCGAGCGTACGGCGCGCTGTAGACGGTCGCATTGTGCTGGTACCCTCGTTGGATGATGCCTTTGGATGCTGCGCCCATTAGCACCTGAAGGGAGAAAAAACAGTTGATTTTTAACCTTATGCCATGGTGATAGAGTTCAAAATGTAGCGGACTTTGGATGAAATACACATAGAGAAAAAATACTATAGTCTGGTCCGTGAGCACGTAGTATTTTGTCCAATGACCCCTAGCTACCCATCCTTATCGCTCGCGCGTAATTATGTTGCTATCGCGCTCGCACACTCACTTCGGGTGCCAGTCGCACAATCGCGACAGCAATATAATTACGCGCGTTTTGTCTGTCAATTAACAAAAAAACTCATTTATTTATGCAATTAGGCTTTAAAAAAGCACTTTTACAACATGCACAGTCTAATTTGTCTATGTACTAGCTTATTCTTTGAATGTCCATTGAATGTGTATTGTGTAGTGTTATGGTACTTGTTTAGTCTATGGACGTGGATCACCTTAGCAACTATGGTGTTTGTGATTTTATGAGGTTTGTGTTGTCGATATGGACGTATATTGTCTATGGACGTGTATTGTCTATAAACGAGCTTTGTCTATGGATATGTATTGTCTATGTGTCTATTGTCTATAGTACGCGTTTATTATAATATGGATGTTTAGTACCTTTTATGGGCGTATACGATATTTTTTAGGCTTGTGTTCTCTTTGGGCGTGTATTCTCTATAGACTAGTTTAGTCTATAGATGTGTACTGTTTGCTGAATTGTCTTTGGTATACGAGTGAATAGTCTTTGAAGTGTGTTTAGTCTATGCCCGTGTATTGTCTATGAATATGGACTGTCTTTGAGGGCGTGTTTGTATGTAAATAGGTCTATGGGTGTGGCAGTAGTCTATGGGCGCGTAATCTTTATCTTGTACCACGTGACTCATTCTGGTCTACTGTCTATGATCTAGCTTTGTCCCTCAGAATACGGAACAAACCAGAAACCGTCAACGGGCGTAAATGTGTATTCATATAAATTACTCCAAAACGCACTAATTTGACTTTAGAGCAATTAGTCAATGGCCGGCGCGCGCATTGTTTACATATCCGTCAGATTGACACTTTAAAATTAAATTATGCCGTCTTGTGCCGTTCCAACATGTAAGAATGCTACTAGAATTACGAAGAAAGTGCATGGGATCATGTTTTATCCGTAAGTAGCACATTTCCAATTCATTTTAATTAAATAATAATTTTCAAAAAATATCACGGTTGTATTTTGTAAGTGTTGCCACAAGTCAACGGAATATTTTACCCTACTTTTTTATATTGAATTACATTTGTCTATAAAAAATTCGCGCGTTAATTTTGTTAGCGTTACCACAGAATAATGGAATATTTTCCCCATCCTTTTTGTTTTAATTAGTTTTTAGTGTATTTTCATCCATGACAATATGACAACCTGATTAATTAAATTTTAAGTGCCACTTGTGGTCTAAACTGAATAAATATTTTTGATTTTAATTTGATTTTAATATTTGAATTAATTTATAATATTACTCCCTAACTAATGAGGAGATAATAAATTACTATCGTGAATTTCATACTTTCCCATTTATTCAAAAGTAAGGCATTGGTATCAACAGACCAGCAGCAGCAATATTTGTATATTTAATAATAATTTTAAGTAATTAATTATTGCTTACATACTTACTCTGATTTTCTTTCAGGATACACAGCCAGAGTTGCCTCGCAATCAAATTCAAGTATTGGTGATGTTATTGATTTGGATTCTGTTTTTGACTCCAAGAAAAGTTAAACTAAAAGCACTACTGCGCCGTAAACAAATGTTTTGTTGTCGATATGTTTACATAATAAAGAACCTTAAGTTTCTTTTTTGTTTTACTTGGCATTCTAAAATTTATATTCGAATTTTGTAATTGACTTTTAAATAACATATTATACCTACATGTAGTATATTACACTATTTAATAGAAATAAATAATCATCTACACTTAGTTACTTCGGAGTAAAAATTAAATTCATAGGTAGGTAGGTACTATCTATGCCTATGGCCAGTCATGTCGTCTCGTTCTATCGCAAAGAATCACCATTTGATGAGAGCGAGAGCAAAAACGGAAATGGATAGTTAATACTGTGGCCGTGTGTACTTATTTCACTTACTTATTTTTTACTTGTTTAACATCTCATTAAAAAATTACATAATTTTACCCCGAAAATGGGGGTGTCACACGGCGCTAGTAACACTAAAGGGGGTAGAGGGGCGCGGGAGGGGAAGTATTTTGGACACAAGTTGCCGCGTAGAAATGTTATCGAACACTCCTTCTGGTTTGTTCTGTATTCTGAGCTTTGTCCATGGATATGTATTGTCTATAGTACGAGTTTAGTATGGATGTTTAGTGCCTTTTATAGGCGTGTTTGGGCTGTGTTGACTTTGGACGTGTTTTGTCTATGGTCTATGGGCGTGTAACCTATAGTCTATGGCTCACCACGTGGTCCCCAGTGTGCGTGTTGGCAGCGTCTTCTCCCACCAGCTTGCTAGCTTCGTCCCAAGTGACTCCCTCGAGGATATGCGACTGAGGCCCAGCGCTTATCTTGTCGGCTCGACGATTCTCTTTAATCTGTTATTTAGATAGTTATTTTATAGATAGAATATTGACATTTGAGAGTTTAAAAAAAGTAATTTGGATTAATACAAAGAAACCTATTAAAAACCAACTTTTTCCATCATCAGGGGACGTAGTGTGAGTTTACATCAAATGTCACTAGTGAGCGCGTAAAAAAATTACATTAAATGTATGAATTGTACAGCGCCCCTAGCGGAAACTTTCAAGAACTAACCGCCTCTGTAGTCTAGTGGTAAGACCACCTGCTTCAGAAGCAGAGGTCCCGGGTTCGATTCCCAATGGGGGCAGATTTTTCTGTTCGGTTTNTTGTGTTGTCACATAATCGATCACGGATCGATTATTAATCGAATTGCCAAAAAACGATTTATCGATTAACAATTCGATTAATCGATTTTGCTGATTACCATCATTACTATCATTTGATTGTTAATTCAATTCCTTATTTTTAGCAATATAATCGATTATTGCAATCGATTATAATTTATTCGGTATACATACTTACTAAATCGATAGAATCGATAGTAAGATATGATACAATACTCTCAATATGATCGATAAAAGCAATGTAATTGACCTAATAATGTTTTTATTAATAGTGTGTATGTGAAATACTATGGAAACTTTGCATATTCAACGACCTCTATCTCCGTATCCCGGCGTATTTCAGGGTTGTTGTCATACTATGAAATGAAGTACTAGTATTAAGCTTTAATTTAGTATACTTTTTGTTTCTGTTGGTTTAACGCCCAATATGCACATCATCCTTTGTTAGCACGTTATCTCTATCAAAACTACAGCTCAAGATATAAATCAAGTATATCCAGAAACGCAAATTACCTGAACAAGTTTCCGACCCAAACCAACAGAACTTTAATTATTAAACTCAATTTGTACGAATCCGAAGTGCATTGCGGCACGCAGATCCCGAGCAGTAAGTTGGAGCTAACAATGAGAATAAAATTTCATTCCGTGTAAGACACATTGCAAGTAAGTTCCCGCGAGCGGCGCACGTGTCATGTCGGTGCTGCGTTTGGATGCGCTTGCATTTCTCTTGCAACTGTGTTACAACATTACATTATTTTATTATTTTTAACCGACTTTAAGAGGAGGAGGTTCTCAGTTCGGTTGATGATAAGAAAGCTTTTTATTCAGTTTACTACTTTTCGCCTAGTAGTTTACGCGGCATATGTATAATTCCAGTGTATCTGAATATAAATCTACCTATTTTTAGCTGCTTTCCCAAAAACATAAGATACGAGTAGGAGTATTAAAGTAGGTTGTTTGATGATTGTACTTTTAAATCATCAATGTTCATCTAGTCTTTATTTTTAATAATTTTAAAAGCGTCTTTTTCAATATAGAATCTTTCTTTGGTCCCAAATCTATTCTTAGTAAGCAGATGTGCATTTAATCCTGTAATAAGTACATCCTAATTCCTAGTAGTAGTGAGTAGTGAACGCGGCAGGCGAGCGAGCGCAGACAGGCGTGCGTGACCAGCGCCCGTAAGTATTGCTTTGACATTACCGCGCTCTACACGCCGTAATGTTTGTCTCTGTTCCTTGGCTTATCCGATTGGCTTTATGGTTTCCTTTATTGAACCAGCGAAAGACGAATGTTTTTAGTTCTTTCAGTTTAAAATTGTAATGTGACACTTCGTTCGTTCGTTCCAGCCGAAAGACGTCCGCTGCTGGACAAAGACCTCCGCCAACACACAATTTGACACAAAAAAATGAAATTATAATTGCAAATAATATTGAATCAGCCCATGCCAATCAGTAGATGAAATAACTGTTTAGATAAGAGATTTACATGATTTTACAGAAAAAAAATACAGAAATAAAGCGGCACATTTCGCCAACCTAATATCAAAATTATCTAAAATGACCTGCACAAAACAATTACGTCATAATTCCGTCCCTTTTTTCAGCCGCGATAAGGCGCGGTATCGCGCATCTCTGGAAGTAATCCCACGCTTCCGAAGACAATTTGGGGATAATTGTGTCTCTTTGTGCCATATTATTCCTGTTTCCTGAAATAAAGATAAGCGGAATGCGAGGTACTTATGGTGAGAGTAATTTGAACGGGTGCGATTTATAATTTTCTTTTCAAAATGTAATTATTATTTGATGAGAGTGCCGAGAGGTTTAAAAACGTATCCGTATTAAAAAAAAGCAATTGAAATCATTAGAAGAACATGATAGGTACCAATGTACCATATACTATTAGTGGGTTTAAGACCACCGATTTTTAGTTGGTCGATAGTTGTGCCCGATTTTAAATTGTATGAAGAATCGGCCAAATCGAATCGGTGTAATGTGCGCACTTCCATACATGCCTATACTGAGGGTGCGCCAAAGTTCACCTAAATTTTCAACTCCGAAAATTGGAAGTCCGAAAATGTTCTTCCTAAAATTTTTTATCCTAACAATCACAATTCCTAACTACTCTGTCTCTAATGTTCATAATTCCGAATCATTCAACTTCATAATGTCATTAGCAATAAACATCTATTACACTTTTATTTGTTCTCCTAGATTTTCTAAACATAACCATATTTTACACTATTATTCAAAGTCATATCTTTTTTGTTTAGATTTCTTTCTTTAACAATATATTAAAGTTCAAGTTTGTTGGCATTAGCACGTATACTTTAGTCCCGCTCCATTCATTCAGTCAAGTTCCAGAAACGAATCGGTCCTATTCATAATTATTGGTTTAGGTTAGGTTAGAACTGTGACCACAACGCACCAGCCGAGCGAGCGAAGCCAGAGTCCCGCTCCAGTCATTCAGTCAAGTTCCAGAAACGAATCGGTCCTATTCATAATTATTGGTTTAGGTTAGGTTAGAACTGTGACCACAACGCACGAGCCGAGCGAGCGAAGCCAGAGTCCCGCTCCAGTCATTCAGTCAAGTTCCAGAAACGAATCGGTCCTATTCATAATTATTGGTTTAGGTTAGGTTAGAACTGTGACCACAACGCACGAGCCGAGCGAGCGAAGCCAGAGTCCCGCTCCAGTCATTCAGTCAAGTTCCAGAAACGAATCGGTCCTATTCATTATTATTGGTTTAGGTTAGGTTAGAACTGTGGCCTTACGTTTTATTCGCGAAGAACGTACTTCTGTACGTAGTATTTATTATTATTCTATGGTATGAGTGAAAATATTATGGTAATGTTTAGGGATAAAAGTGTTATGATAAAAAACAGTAGGAGTTTAAATATATTTACATAAATGATATTATTAATTAAAATTTTCGGAAACATGAGTGTTATGAACATCGCCGGTAGCACTACAAATAGTATGAATGAAAACTTTAGGATGAAAAATTTTAGGAAGAGTGATCATTCGGATTTAAAATCGTTAGGAAGAACAATTTCGGGTAAATAACTTTAGGTGAGCCAATATGGACCCTATACTGATCTACTGCCCGACTAAACTATCGGCCGACGAAAAATCGATGGTCTGCGCCTAGGCTAATAGTAATGGCGAGTAAATAAAAATGGAGGGATATATTCCCCAAGTTAAATAAAAGTATTTAGGTGCGACTAGCAACTGTATACGCGCATGTAAAATGTTAAACAAAATGCAGCATTTTATCAAAAGCGGATTCCTCGCTGTAACTATTTCAACAAAGCCCTAATTTCAATGAGGCTGTTCCTTGTGTGAAGTCGATTAAAAGTTGCAGCCAACTTGCAGTATCTGATAGGCAATTATGAACGGCGTCATGAGTTGCCGAACTTTGGCCCCCATACTCGCGAACTACGGCGCTTGCTGTTCTGCCGGGGGGTAGTTCACACAGTTTGAAAAAACTAACATTTACGTAAAAGATAATTTTATCTGGTGAAATCTTAGATGCTTTTGTCTGGTGAAAAGAAATCGATCTGTCTGTAGATACAGTTGTTGTTTTATCGCAGTAATTACGATTTTGCAATAATTATCTAATATTTATCTACTTAGTATGTTTTAATAGATCACTGGAGAATAAAGAACAGCTTCCCATTTCTTTACTATATTTCGATTTTCCGTTCATCTACTATTCGATAAAATTAATTTCAAGGCGTGAATCAAACAATGTAATATTGTTTAACTATTTGAAAACCAAACCTCAGGTGACCACTCGCAATACCTAAACTCGTTATTACTCGTATAAAAAAATAACGCTAAGCAAAAATTATAGCGATAACTATCTGTATTAGTACTTCAATGTTTTTTTATATATTATAGAAAAGTTTGTAAAATCAAATTAAAACCATTTTCAATATTCAGATGTCTCTAAATTTTGTGTGATAAAACGGCCACGTCAAGTAATGTCAATTGTGAAATCCTCAATGTATTTGATTTTATTATTTTGTAGCGTTATTTTAACGAAGCCTTACAGAAGAAAACAAACCACACAAGCAGTGCCAGTAATTTACAAAATACGAAGGCAAAGATCACCACCCTACCTTTGCGATATCCTGTATGAGAATTGTGATAGTGATGAATTACTGGATTTTGGTGAAACTAAAATGAATAATGAGGACACAGGCACTCAGAAAGAAACCACGGAACTTCAACCAAACCCTGAACAAATTGAAATGAAAGAAAAAAATAAGGAAACGTTAAATGTACTAGATTCGTTGGAAAATTTAAGTAATTTCGATGATAATATGTTTGATCCTTCAGCATATTATGATGACAAAGGTAAACATATTTCTCTAAAAAATTTATGAAGAAAATGTTAAAGGAGCATACTTTATAATGTTGATAGTAGAAAATAATAATAATATTGCCGATGTATTTTTTTAGCTGTGACATTGAAATTTGATGCTGATGTAGAAAATAGAGATCATTGGTATTCAAAACAAACAAGCAGTACAAAAGTTTGGTTCTATAATCACCAGACACCAGAGGTTCAGAAGCTGCCTCATCACATCATGATGTGCAATGATCAGTCTAAATGTCGTTTTCCATTTGAGAACGTACCATAATAGGTATTAGCAACGTATTTATTTATAATATC